TGATTAGTCCTCAACTCTTAAACTAATCATCAACTATTGTTATAATCAATTTATTGGTAAAGCAAATTTTTAAAAATAAAAAAGTCAAAAGTCTCTGACAGCTTCTTAAAACTGCATATTTTCTAGTGTATTTACTCTTAGAGGATATATTATGAATGAATAAACCAATATAAATATGACATGTTATATCTGAGAAAGAAATCATGTCAGTCAGACCATATAAACATGACAATTAGCCGAGCATGTCTGAATGGTGGACTAAATTGTTGTTGTTTTTTTTTTTTTAAATGTTTTTATTTTTTACCATTTTCTGAAATTTTGTAGAGCAAACTGACCCATTCATAAAAAAAATAATCATCAGGTTAACTGACAACTGAAATATTCACTCAAATTCACTAATCAGCAGTCAGTGACATCAGACTGAGTTTGTCAGCATTCAAAACAAGCTACAAGAGCTGTACAATACAGAAATAAGTTTATTAAGCAAAACCACACAGCAACAGTACAAGCTCATTATGTGTAAATGTTTATGTGTGAAGTGGTCACAGTCATGAATGTTAAAAGAGAGAAAAACAATTAGATATGATGTGACATAAAAATGCTAATTTTTAGGATCAAGTACCTCAAATCTGTAGAAGAATGCTGTCAGTTTATTATAGTTTATGCTAACATCACCTGTGTTTGTGCTTTACCTAATGACACTACCTGTCAGTGTAACTGGTTTTATTTCCAGTATTAACAGTGTTCTCTGTGTACTGGAAACAAAACCAGTCACAGTGGTCACTTCCAGTAACAGTCTGATATTTCCTGAATCCTAAAATCACTGCTGCTCTGATTTAACGTTGTTGCACATTAGCTGTGATGCTAAAAACTTTTAGCTAGCTTTAGCTAACAGTAAAAAAAAACCCAAATCCACTCGACATTTAACACAAACAGACAGTGAAATATAAAACACATACGTCTAACAACGACCAAATCCCTCTGATGCGAGTGTTTTTTTTCCACCTACCGGAGTTGTAAAGACACTTGAGAGACGCTTCACATCTAATTTCTGGTGAATATTGTCAAACGGAGCCTCCTTCTTGTCAGACGCTCCCAGGAGTTTAAACTTCAGAGCAGCGCCTCGGAACATCTGCACAGAGGCGTTCAGGAGCCCCGCCGCGGCTCGGAAATCACACCTTCCGCCTCAACTCAGGTTCCTCAATCGCTTTTTGATTTGTTTTTTGCAACGTAAAGTAGAAGAAATTAAAACTAGAATGAATAATGATGTATAATTCTGACCCTTTACTTCATGATTTCATAAAAATAGAATAACTTTTGCATTTCAGAGGAAGAGGAATGGTCATCTTTTCTTTTTTTTTCTTTTTATTAGTGGATGCCTGGACAGATTCTCCCTCTTATGTATAGTCCAAAACATTTCATGAGAGTAAATAAAAAACTATTTTACGCTATCATGTGTCAATTTTTGATCAGATATCGATAAACTCAGAAAAATAATATTGATGGGTCTTAACCTTAATACTTAAACTAGCAAAGCAAATGGTCTTATTTCTCACATCTGGTTTCAAATGTGCTTCATAAATGACACTGAACTGATTTGACCACCTTAAGCCCACATTTTAAATATTTTACTACTTTAATTTGACCATGTATGTCCATGTTTTTCCCCACTGTTTATGAATATGTACATACAGTTTTTATTTTTGATTGAATACTGTCACAAAATTGGCAAATTGGGGAAACAAAGATTCGTTTTATGTAACCTTCCCTATATTCCTTGGCCAGATATTGATGATTTCAGATAATAATTTTATTCTATTGTACTGTTTATATTAAGATAAATTCAACTGTGATGTATTAGAAGAGCTTTTCTATTTAATAAATGGCAAAATCAGGCAGAAAAACAAAAGACGTCGACATATTTCAGTATAGACAGGTATGACAATGCAATGGCAACAATATTTGGCCCTAATAGCAAGATTTTGCTGAAAATTTGTCAAATTACTGGAATATTTCCCCAAAAGGAAAAAGAAAAATATTTTTACTGACAAGATAATGTTAATAAAAAAGTAAATTTAAATACTGAAAATGTTCTTGAATGTCAATAAACTTAAAATATAAGCAAACAATAATACACAAACACCTATAAAGGTATATAAATCTTGATGCAGCTCCTCTTGCACACGTCAGCTGATCATGTGCTCTGCCGGTCTGTTTCTCAGGTGTGTTTACCTCCATGCTGACTAATCCACATGTTTCCGACACCACCCAAAGGCGACACCGTTTACCTGAACAAAGCACCTTAAACCCGAACACGCCCTGAGAGCTTCTGCACCACAAAAATCCTCACAGTCAAACTATCTGCAGGGTTCCTGACTCACAAACTCATCTCAGACACCAAGATGTTATCAAATAATATCTGTAAAATCTCACCTGGTTTCTGCAAACGGAGACGATGTGGAACCTTTTGTCTCCTGCCTGGTTTCTGGCTGTGGATTCACCTGGGAGAGGGGCGTGGCCTCTGTGTGGGTTACCTGTCTGACTCTGACTCATCAGTTTCACAACATGATAACAAATCCTGAAAGTGATGATGTTTGCTCCAAAAATAGAAAATAAAAAATGTGGGAATCATCTTGGAAGAAGTCCAAACACTGACACATCGAATCAAGAATCATAACAGAGAGTCAAAAGAAATTCCCTGACTTCAGATGTACTATATAAATATTATATGATATTGATATCATGGTAGTCAGTAACTCACACGTTACATTTCAGAAAAATAAGGAAAATGATGTGTTATATAAGGTGCAAAAATGTGCTGAATACAGAATTACAATAATATTAATAATAACAATATAGAAGGGATGAAAATATTGATTCTAAGCATACAGAAGGGATTTTATGTTATAAACACATAAGAGGTGAGATTTAGATTTTTTCTTTTTTTATGCAAATTTGACTGTTCAGGTACATTTACTGAAATCTGTATCTATTTGTGTTCACACATTTAAAAACTAAGTCTCAAAGCTTTCTTTACACTGCCAAGAAAACAATTTATTTGAATAGAAAAACCTTCATATTGTTCTCTCCATACTTCATAATTGAAAGAATCAAGCAAAAATCTCCATTATTATACAGTTAAGATTATTTTTGTTATAAAATATTTTCTTGTGTGCAACAACTTTGCAGTATTTGGTAATAAAAAGTTAAACTTCACAGCTGAAAAGCTTTTTTTTTTGTTTTTTTCAGACTTTCCAGTTTTTCTTTCCACGGTGACGCGGTGAGAAATATGCCCCAAGGTGTGGTCAATACATCATGACATCACTGCTGGGCGTCGTCAAGGGCGTCCAGGTGTGCTCAGAACCTGAACCAGCTTGTGGGGCTGCTTGTCATGCTTGACACCACTGAGTTCCAAAACAGTAATACATAATACGGAACAATAAACGTGTGTTTCTTTGTCATGTCATGATTAAATTATAATAAAAAATCCACTCTGTGGTCTCTGTAAAAAAAATAAAAATAAAAATAAATAAAAGTAATGCAAACTAATTGCTACAAAGGGGCCCTTAACGGGAATGCAGAGACATTTGGAACGAGCATGCTTCAACTACGTTCGTCATGGAAATCTCTGAGGAAAAACAAACAATGCAGAAAGACGTTTCAAACAATGTTATCTTTGGTATTAACAGAGTAAATACAAACTCAGTAGCTGCAGAGTGTTTGTACTGCAGGTAGAAGGAAGTCAAGTGTTTGTAAACCAGCATAAAGACTTTACAAAATGCACAGACTGACAGAAAATGATTCTCTGGCTTTTAATTTTGCATTTATATTTATTACACATGGACAGTATATTGCACATAGAAGGTATCATTGAATGATCAACTCCACCCAGAACAAAGATGTAAAAACAAATATGAATTTCAACAAAGAGAGGTGACACCATCAGAGCTTATAGAACCTTTCAAACTTTCACTCTGCGTTAACAGTCTTGACAAGAAATCGGTTCTTATCGGGCCCGACCTGGTTTTTACCACCCTGTCATCCCACTCATCGAATGAGCGACTTTTTTAAACCAGACAACTATTAAAACATTTCATTAGAATGGAAACATGATTTAAAACTAAAGGCTACCTTTATAGGAGTCCTAAAGGAAAACTTGACTGTCAGTTTTTTCCTATTAATTCATTTATGAGACGTTTTTTTAACGTTTTTGTGTTTCCTACTGTGTTTGCAGGATTGGATTCAAAAATTCAAACTTGGCTTGGTTAAAGTTTTAAAGTGTTGGACACATAACACATTTAAAGCAAGATGCAAACTTTGCAAAAAGCATTCATCCTGCGTTACTACACCCATTAACAGCCAAGTTTAAGTGCAGCCGAGCTGCTGGAACCAACTGGAACCAACAAAGCTAATGTCAGTCTAGATTGAGAGTGTTAAAAGTAATGTAAAAACATGGGTCACAAAATGCTGTTTAATAATTAGGTAGCCTGGGAAGAAAGATGATACGCCACAAATTCCAAAATAGGCCAAAACATTGCACTAGATAACCAAATACCATCAGCTAGATGAGCTTAACCAGACATTTCCCACTCATCTTAAACTGCATGAATAGAACTAAGAAATATGACTAAACATGTGCTTTTATAAATGAAACAAAATATCTACATTTACATAAGACTGGCAGTGAAGTTTATCATCTCACTTGTTAAGCACATTTGCACAGGTAACTGCTTTTGGCACCGCAGATGTTTCACACATTACCTACATGTTCCTTAAGTTTTAATTGGCAGCCCAGTTTACTTTGATGAATCATGATTTTAAAACGAGCTACGAACTTAAGAAAAGTCTTTACATCCAAAATTGAATTAACAAACAGCTGTGCTATCCAATTCTGTTCTTTTCTCGTGGTCATTTTAATGTTTGTTCAGTAAAACCAATCTACCTAATGTGGTGCGTATCAGTGTCCAGTGACATTAAGTCGTATGCAACTTTAAAACATTCCTCAACAAATTCACAACCTCAAGCATGTGGGGAGATGGTTTCACTGCAGCCCTGACAGCCAGAAAAACAACAGAAGGAAACAGACCAATGCTGCACAGCATCACAATGTATTTCTAAGGCATCATAAATAATAAAGGCACTCAACCCTTTGACTATAAACAATCTCTACACCTGGTCAGAAAAAGTCTCAGTGTTTCAATATGAACAACTACAAACTGATGAAAATCCAACCAACACATGAAGTCCAGAAAATACTTACTGCACCAATTTCTTTTATTTAAGATGTTACGATCCAAATACATATTGACTTAAATCTCTGAATCCCATGATCTGAGAAGACAATGCGGCAGTTTGACACAAGGAAAACAAATATGACACATCTACCACAAAACTTCAGTTCCGCCCAGTGTAGTGTAAATGCTGAGATTCAATAAGTAAGTTCCCCAATCGGAAAGTTTCGGTATTATACTTTTGGTTTCATGAAGAATGGAGTTTCCTCTTGGGACATTCAAAATACGTCTGATTATAGTTTTACTTTATACGACCTTTTTAAGAACTGGCGATGATTGAACCTTTTCTTTGAAACGTTAATAGTCAGAAAAGCACATTTTCAAAGTGCAGTTTTTTGACCAATGTCCTATTCCACATTTCGAAAGAAAGTGATCCGAATCCACACCTAAACTTAATGAGTATTTTCTTTGGCCTTGCTCAACTTCTCAAAACGTTTTAGGAATTTTGGTTGGGTAGTTTTTGCATAATTTTCTTGACAGACAGACAAATATACAAACAGACTTTAAAAAAAAACTGCACTAAAATCTTACCTCCACCTTGACAGAGGAATCAAACAAGTTTAAGGCATTTTTTCCAGTTAAGTGTCAAACATATTCTCTGTTCTCGTAGTCCTTTTTGATGGCTTTTTTAATGCGGTCGATTTCATCTTCCTCTTCATCTGAACTCTCATGTTTGTCTTCTTTTTCCTTCTTGTCACTGTCCAGAGCTTCGCCATCACTGCCTGCGTTGTTTTCCGGCGTGGTCGACTGCAGCTCCTCTCGTATTGAGTTGAGCTCCACCAGACCGTCATGCAGCTGTGTAGCAACATCCCTGATTTTGGCAGCAAACTCTGACTTTGCACCTTTCTTGAGTTCTTTGGAGTCTTTGGCCACAAAGTAGATGTCCATACCTACAAAGAGTCCAGTGAGCACGCCGGTGGCCATGCTGGCGATCTGAACTGCTCTGGCAGCAGTGCTTCCTGCCACGTTGGCGATCTGCACCACACGCATGATCTCGTTGGCGTTGATGAGGATTGCCTTTCCTGCCATGGCGCCATCTTCGTAGAAACTGCTACTGAGCACGGGGAAGTCCCGATTGTACGCATGTTTCTTCATCTTGATCAGGTCGAACTTCCGCAGGTTCTCGATCCCCTGTTTGACAAACTTGAGGCACTTGTTGAGGTCGACCATCTTCTCCTGGTAGTCCTCCACGATCTTCTCTACTTTCTTGCGGTCCATTGAGTTGTTGACCTGGTTGGAGATGCCAGCGCCTGCTGACGTCAGACCGCCGGCCGTGGCGACGCCAAGTCCTACCGCCGTCACGATTAAGGAGGTTCCCAAGGTAACTGGAGCCAGAGCGAGGCCGGCAATGGTGGCGACGCCCCCGATGGCGCTGGTGGAGCCGCCGGTGATTTGAGCGATCTTTGTCTTCTTGTTGAACTTGTCGAGGCCGTCGGCGATGCTGTTGAGGTCGATGACGTGCTGCCACAGGCTCTCCGCTCGCTCCGAGAACAGTTTGTTGAAGACACGAATGCCCTTCTGCACTTTCTCTGCTGTCACAGCAAACGCCCTGAGAAGCACAAGTTGAAGGTAAATAAACAGCAATGAGTGTGAACAGAGAAGACATTTTTATCATGATAGTTGTGGTTTCTTTTTCTGTAGTTTTGAGATAATCGGCTCAAGATTTCAGAAACCGCTTTGGCAGAAGCAGACTGGAAGTCAAGTAAATGAATAATGTAGATTATTATTCTGGATAATCCACACATCTTGCTGTCTCAACAGGGTGACGGGATGCTCTGAGGATTACTATTTGCATTATTTTTAGGGAACTGTTTCTCTGAATGTTATTTTTTTGTGAAATTCTGTTGACCTCCAATGTATTGGGATCATAAAGCACATTTTAGGTGCAGATATGTCAAACATTCAGCACATAAAACTGTCACTATCTGCATGGTAATATATCTACTAGAAATATGAAGAGAACCATAAGAAAAGGGACCGTTAAGAGACCAAAAATGAGATTCAGTAAAATACATCAACACCTATTTTGGTTGTTTACTTACTTGGCCTCTTCTTTTTCTGTCATGTCATCATCTTGAGGCGTATCCTCCCATGCTGACAAAGTAAGGAAAGGAAATAAAGAATGATTTGTCATCATATTATGCAAAGTCAAAAGTATGTGGACACTAACCCATAACACGACTACATTTGGAAAGCATGAGCGTGAACCTGCTGCCAACAGCCTCCGGTCTTTTGAAAAGGGTTTTTAATAGATTTAGGAACCTGGCTGAAGGATCTGCACCCATTTAGCCGCAAAATGCGCAGATGCTGGACTAAAGGCCTTCCACACCACACTCATAAAACTATATCTTTGTTTAGGTGGCTTTGTGCATCGTGACATTGTAATGTTGAAGATATTATCTACAATTGCATGCATTAAGGTTTCACTTAACTAAAACTAAGGGACCCAAACCAAAGAAAAATAGTCGACTGAAGTAACAAAATAGTGGTGTCCATATACTTTTGATCATATACAATTGAGTCAATGGTTCAAAAGCAAAGTAAAATTTGATAGCTTGAGTTTCAGAACAACAAAAATAAAAAGTAATAAAGCTAAACTAATTGAGACACATGTAATTAGTAACTTACGCTCCACTGTGTTCCACCAGTCCATAAGATCCTCCACATCCTGAAAGACACCATTAGCTTCGTAAGCCCCTTGCATGTTCATGGTTTCCATTCAGATGATGAAGCAGCAAACTGTTTAAATGTAAATGTGTCAACATGTTTTGCTTTAAAGACAAACCTGAGCGCCTTGAGGTTGTGCGGGGTCAATACGGAAGTCCTCCAGCTGGTCAAACAGGGTCCTGTTTGCACCTTCATTCTGAGAAAATAGAAACAATGCAGCTTAAAATTCATCAATCAATCAGTCAATACCAGGATTTTTTCCCCCCTGCATATAGAAAAGTCTGAGTCTGAAGTGTAGCTAAGGTGTATATTTGTGTGACACTGAGAGAGAGGAACAGACACCCAGTGCGTGAATTTAAATGAACTTATCACGTACTCTATTTTCTGAGTTTCACTTTTTTTGCTCAGATAAAGAGGAGGAAGTGATAGTAAAAGGCATTCTGACTTATGTCTGCTGTATTTGCAGAAGTAAAAGGACCACAATCGTCCATGGGCACATTGAAAAAGGAAGCAGAGAAACAAGTCTGGGCACATTGCTGCCTAATCTCGTCTCATCTTCCGTGCTGAGAGCAAGTACGAACACGGTGAGGTGGGGGTGGGTTTCATGTCAACAGTGGAAAGGTGAAAATACAAAACACATGTTGACTACGTTATTCTCTGCTGGGAGCTGAGTGGACACCCTGGAGGCAAACTCTGTAAATGACTGCAAGAAAGAGGTTGTTTTCAGGGTGGAGGAGGGGCGAGGCGGGTGAAACAGACCTCTTGTAATTCTGAACCACAATGACACAACGCGTCAGTCTGGTGGACAAACACACCGACTGGCTGAGAAAAGGCTCGAAGCTGCTTTTAGTTTTTAAAGCTCAGTGTGCGTGAGGGGACTTCTTCCGTCTTATGCAGAGCAGCAAAGAAACGTGTTTTATTTTCTCTACCTCTGCCGCGTTGCCTGCAGCATCGTCTTGTCCGGGCCGTTGTATAACTTTGGCCTGAAACCAAGAACACAGACAAACACAAGGGAACAAACAGTTAAAGCATTCATAATATCAATATAAACTGCTGATATGAGCTCCTATACAGCAGTCGTATTCAAAAAAAAGTCAAAAAATAAATTACGCAGTGATTTCTTTTACAGTTTCTGTGGTTTTCAGCTGCTACGTAACTAGGGCAGGGAGTTGCTCATAAAGGTAGGCTGTGTGGAATTTCAGCTATGCAAACTGACGAACATCGCCAACAAAACAAGGCAAGACTGAAGAAAGCACAACAAATGCTGTAGCTTCCATTCAGAACATCAAGACCCACTAACAGATCTGATGAGAGTGACATTATGTAAATCACGTTTTAATCTTTGCGCTCATCTTAACTGAAATATGTCAGACAGCGATGTCCACCTCCGTCTTTAAAACACCAAATGAGAGACCATCTTTTGGAAGTCAGGTATTAATTCTTCTAACACAAGAAGCACTAAAGCTGCTGAAGTTGTCCTGCTCTGGTTTTTTATTCTGTCACTGAGATTTTGACGGAGTCGACGCTGCTACATCTGCATTGCAGCAGTGCAGTTTAATGCCACTAGTGGCAGCACAGAGCGTAATTAAACTGAGGCGCATTCCTGAGAATAAGTGAAAAAAAAAAAAAAAATAGAGTTGTATTCCAAATTGTAAACTTTGTCTTTTTACTTTCAGTACGTACTGCAGCTGCCTTACAAAGCACATACTGTCTCATGCAGTATGCAAACAATTGAGACGTACTTCTTTGTCATACTACTGCGCCTTATATCCTAATATATCCAACCAGCCTCTAGTGCAAAATGAGCAGCTATATGCTTGTGCTCTCTCGGTGGCTCAAACTTGTTTAAACTTGCGTGAGACTGGATTATGGGTCAGACGGGCCAGAGAAACATGCTGACTTACATGTAGCAGGACATCCTGGTATTTTCTGGCACATTAGACAGTTTATGCATTGGGATATACTTTTCCGGCATACTGTATAGCATGGTAGTATGCGTCCTGTCTGAAATGACTTCCGTAAACAGCTAATTTGCAACAACAAACACGGGTTGAATCAAATATTATTATGAGCTGATTTCATGTTCAACAAACAGAATGAAGGAATGTCGCCAATTAACATACTTGCCCTGCTGCACACACGCTTTTATTATATCTGTCGGTAATATGTTTACTGACAGCGTATTTCTGTTTACGTGAGTTTGGTGAGTCGCCCTTTCAATATTTTTATTAGGATGGAGGAGAGTGTCCACATGGGAAGAGACAGGTTTGTAAGAGTCATACGTCTGAATGATACCTTGAGTCGAGGCATGAAAGGGTTGTGTTTCTTGGGTTTCTTGACTTTGGTCTGAAAAGAAAAAAAACAGGACATTGATATTTTGAGGAGGTCAAATACTGAACATTCCTTTAAATGAACATTTGTCCTGACACTTGTCATCAATCATAAAAATCTGCAAATCAACAGGCACCAAGGGAGTGAAAAGAATTTATTTGAAAGACCTCCTCTGTTTTTTCTTTGCCCTCCTCCTCTTCTTCTTTCTTCTCCTCTCTGGACGAAGACTCTTCATCTTCTTTCAGCCCTTCGTCATCAGATGCAGCCTGGTTACTGGCCTGAAACAACAACAGAACCGCCACAATCAGAGCGTCAATATCACAATAAAATAAAATGTCTTATCCTGGGAATGAATTATGTGGGCTGCTGTTTACCTTTGTTGCAGTGCGTGGCATAAATGGATTATGGCGCTTTGGCTTTATCACCTTGGTCTGTAAGAAATGACAGTGTGAGGAGCAATAACTGGAAGAACTACATTTCATTCCAGCAGTCGGTGATTTGTGTTGGAATGAAAGAACAACATCTGGGCTAAATGTTACAGTTACAGTAGTCACAGAGCTTCAGCAAAAAAAAAAAAAAAAACCCGAAAAATAACAAAAGGAAAAAAAAAAAAAAAAAAAAATACACGAAAAAGTTTTAGCTTGTGCAGGTTGCTACAGATTGGCTAAGCTCTCTGACCATCCAATCAGAGAACGTGAAAATGCTGACATCATCGCTGGGACCATCAACTCTAAATCTGATTGGTTAAAGCAACAGCTTCATCACAATGCATTTTAAGCTACAGATGCCTGCACTTTTGATTCTGAAGGCCGCAGGGCAGATTTCTGTGACCGTTGCTGAAATATGATTGGATTAAAAAAAAAAAAAAAAAGCTCTAATATAATTATATACAGCTGGAAGCACCACAGCCCAGAGACACACAATGAAATGAAGAGAACAGACTGTTGGGAATGAAGTTAAAAGATTAATGGGAAAATTTTACAACATAAATCAGGGATTCTGATAGAGTTTAGGGCAGCAGAGAAGAAGGCCTTGCTATGTATTTAGACATTGGAGAGTAGGAGCGACAGTACTGCTGGTCTGGAGGGGTTAGCCTTTAGCCTAGCCTTGATCCCGGCTCTCTTCCCCCTCTTTTGTTTACGGATTCCATGTTGGCATCGTATATCCAAATCACAACCGATCACCACAGTTTTAGTGCTGTTCATTGCCCTGATGTTCAGCAAACTCACACGGCTGTAAGTTATGTGGAATGAACTTCTGGGATAGACAAGACACGCAAAACGTTCACTCTCGCTGTCTCCTGAAGGGGCCGCTGCGTTCAAGCGCGCCGCCATCACCATGCTGTTGTCCTATCAATTAAATTTTTTGATTTGTCCTGTTCACATACATAAATCATAAATGCACAGTCATTCTACATTGAGCTTTTTGATCAGCTGACTTGGCCTTGGGATGATATCACCACCTGTTATTCTGGCGCTCTCTTAACAGAGTTGAAAATCTTTTTTTTTTTTTGAGAACAAACAGGGGAAAACCCAGTTTTTAAAAAACACCTGTGTATGATTGGCACAGGCGTCACTCTGAGAATAGCCTGAAGGAGTCACATATCTCAAGACGAGAAGGAAGCAGGAACTAGAACAGAAGCTGGAACCCGACTGAACAGCTGGTACAAATAATCTGTTTTCACCTGTATGCAGCAGCAGGTGAGGGTTCATACCAAACAACAATCCTTTAAACACTGGCTAAAAATATTCACTCACTCAATACTCATCAGTATTGAATCTTGTTTGACCCACAGTGATGACAAGACAAACTTACTGGTTTGCTCTCTGAAGGGTTTGCCTCATCTTTAGTCACAGCAGATTCGTCTTCTTCTTTGGTGGCTTCGTCACCTGACTGATTCTGCAGTAAATTAAACGAATTAGTTAATGAATAACTGAGCTTAACTAAGTTAGATAAAATATTATAACAATCGTCAGTCTCATTATTATTTTTTTTAATATCTAATTTATGTTTTTATGCCAGAAATCCAAACTGCTTAGGGTTGTTTCAGGAGCACTTTAATTCCCCTCATATTTGGATAACATTTATATTGGATCAGTATTGGTTTCTTAAAATTCTGCCTGTTTGCGTATGTGTTAAACTGAGATTTCAAGTGAGCAGGGAGGGACTTCAGTCCTTCAGCAGAGGAGGGAAAACAACCTTTTAGTGCTGCTGCAAGTACAATATGCTGCAGAATGGAGATAAAGAAAAATGAACAATAACTTCAACATATTTTTGAGATTGGAGGGTAGCTTTTAATTGAAATTTTTTTGTTTGTTTCTGAAGCTGAAACCTCCACTGCAGCCGAAACGCATCCAAAATAGTCCAACTCTGGTTCTGTGTGCACGCACCTGGTGGTTTTTCTTCTGCTTTTGTCTCGGTCCTCTGTTCATCTCCTGAAATGGAACAACGGCAGTTTCCTAAACTACAAGTGCTGAAAGTATTGCTTCTACACACACTTAAATCAAACTGATACAAACAGCCCCCCAATCCCTTAAACATAGACGGCTCACCTCCTCCGACGGTCTTGCAGGAACTACAGGAGTTTCTGCAGGTTTTTCTTTTTTCTCTTTGGCAGTCATGTCCTTGTTATCCTGCAGAGGACAACATCAAAACATGTGTCTCTGAACTGAACTAGAGCATCTGAAACACCCAAGAGATTTCTTTTTATATATACAAACCATGAAATGTAACAATTCATGATCCTTTTGAAAGCATAATTTGCAGTTTAACGCTTATTAAGATTAAATTAAATGTACTTACTGTATGAAGAACGCAAAACTCTATAGACAGCAGACAGATCATTTTGCACATTTGAGAACCGTACCTTGTTATCCTCAGTTCTTCTTGATTTTACTTTGTTGTACGTGACCGTCCCCTTCATCTCCTGCAACACAACACACCAGAAACAGACAGAGCAGAATTCAGAATAACCTCACAAGAGTCACATTTCCACCGAGTTGCGACCGGCTGCGCGCAAACCTCTTCTGTTGGTCTGGGTGGGACCAGCGGCGTTTCACTTCTTTCCTTGCGTTCTTGCTGGATCATGTTTCTTTTGACCTGAGAAGGACACACACACAGAATCAGTGGGTGCACCGGAGCAGGAGGACAAGGAGGTTTTGATGGCGAGCCGGCAGGAGATGAGGAGGATGTGGTGGAGTTACGGAAGAGGAGGAGCATGAGGAAGCAGGGTATTTCTGACAGAAGTTGATCAGCTGTGTATATGTGTGTGTGTGGTCACTGACGGATGAGTCACGCCGTGATGCAATAAATAGACTGACCGGTTTTGGCTTCTCTTCCACTTGTTTCTCAGTCTCCTCGAGTGTCTCTGTGTCTTCTGTGTCTTTCTGAATAAAGGACAATGAAGATTAGCTTTAAAACTGCATCAGTGTTCAAAGAACCATATTGCTATTTTTCAAATGCTTTCAGGGTTTTCAGATGGAGGTTAATCACTCTTCCGTGTGAATAACTTATATTTAATCCATGTGGCACAAAAATCTAATAACACATTTTTTAAAACTTAAAGGGCTCTGATGGTAAAACTTCCATCTAGAAAGTTGAGCATTGTAGAAAAAAATACATACATAAACCCTTAATCACACCTATGGAAGCCGAGAGCGGTCATTGCCGCACATTTTTTAGAACGCCGTTTTCTTGAGATAATGAGATAATTATCCCGTTGACAGTTCCGGCTGTCACTTCAGCCTTCATCAGAAGTTGTCGGACTTCCTGGTGTGACCTATCTTATATAGACAGCTGACTGGGAACTCCGACATGACGTGTCATGAGTACAGCTGACCGGACACGACAACTTACAATGAAGCGCTCGTGCCCGGTCTGGTCTGTCCTCCGGCCCCCCGCTGGTGACTGAGGATGGAATCCCAGGTGTGTGGGAGGTCCCACACACCTGGGATTCCATCCTGGACCAGGCACGAGCGGGCAAACACAAACACCAATTATCTCGTTATCACGAGAAAACGATTCCTGTTATCCCGAGATAACGAGAAAATCAACTCGTTATCTCGAGAAAACGCCAAAGAAAGAACAGTAGCGGAAAACGACCGCTCTCGGCTTCCGTACACAGCAGCACTGTTTGGAAAATGATTAGCTGATAGTTAGTTGATGTAAAAAAGTGTTTGTATACTTCATCTCACTCCTTTTCGAATATGTAGACCTAGTCCCGAATTGTGGGATATTTCTTTTGCTATATGATTTTGTTTTGTTTTGTATGTATGTGTATGGATATGTATGTATATAAGTGTATGTGTGTGTGTGTGTGCCTTAATCTTTTCAGATTTCCATATTAATTCTTTGTTTACTTGGTACTTGTCTTTACATATTCGAAATAAATATCTCAATCAAATCAATCAAAAACTGTACGATTTGTAGTTAATAAGTAAAACATGCAAAACCCCTGATATACTGTCTATTATTAGTACAGCATTACTGCTAAAGGGAACCCAGAAGATCGCCACCATCACCACTGCCACAGTCACGATGACCTCACGACCACTTTCACCAAACACATTCAACAGCATAGTTACTTTATGTGCAGAGCGGAATGGGTTCAGTTTGGACATGGCTTCAACCATGGCGTTCTGAGAGGGAGGACACATCATCGGAGGGTTTAAGTGGACAAACAGTTTAGATTTGTACCTGCTTTCGAGCCACATTTGGATGAGAGCAAAACTGGCATTCAGCAAAAAGCGGAATGAGCTGTTTGATTCCAGTCAGTACTGACGTGACTCCTAATGAGACACTAGAGGGATGGTGATCGTGCATGTACACTGCTAACATTATAAGCTCAGTTTCTTTATTTTCATCTACTGCCTTAATCTTTTCAGATTTCCATATTAATTTGTTTTCCTACTCATGTGTTTTAGTGTTATGATCTGTCTGCAGCGCCCTGTTGGCCTCTGAGTTCAGGCGTTTACCATGAGCTGTAGCAAATCCCTGGTTTAGGTCTGGTTTTCCTCGCTCTACCTTCAGTTAGTTTCTTAACCCTTTCTGGATTGACATTGATAATAACGGCATAAAAATGCCCCCTCAAGTAAATATCACAGAGAACTTTCCAGCTCTCTGATATTTACTTGAAAGACTTCAGGTATAACAACGTCAACAAGACCAGACAAGACAAACTAAGTTGGACAGAAGTCTGTGGTGAAAACTGCTCGTCAGAAACTTAAACCGCTGACTCACTGCTTTCCTTTTTTCTAAGGCAGACAAGTTATTTAATACCTCAGTTATGTCATTTACACTAATTGTGTTAACGCCTGACTGCATTAATAGGAAGCTGTAAAGTTCTCCCTAAATAACAGTTTGAAAACATCAAGGCTTCCACTCACTGTGGCAGGTGTTTCCTGAATAAAAGATAACCAGTGAAATGTCACATTAGTTATGTCAAACTGTGAAACAGGAACAAGTAAAAATATCAAAACACCTGTTTGTGGCCTGATGACTTCTCGCTGCTCACAGTTGGATCCTCTTCATCTGAGCCTGTCTGCTTCTCGTGCTGCACAGAGGAGACAGGAATCATTAGTATATGAAGAAAAACACAATACTCCTCGTATTTTCTTCTTCCTTATGTCTTAATCACAAGCAAAATAAATCTAAACTGTACTTACTTTGTTCGCAGCTCGAAATGGATTCAGCTTTGTCATTGCCCCAGCTAGTTTACTCTGAATATGAAACAAACAGGAGAAAAAAAAATGGTGAAAAATAACAACAAATGGATGTTAAACCATTGACTTAAACCAAGAAATGAACATTTTCCAAAACTTATGAACCTGTTTGTGACTGGGCTGGCTACTTCCATCGTCCAGTGTCTCCTCATCATCAGTGCTGGAGCTCTTCTCCTGCAGATTAATTTAAGTTTATTTGTAAAATAACAAACAGCAGGAGAATAACTCACTGTGCATCCCTCCATAAAAACAAACAAACCAAAAAAAAAACTCCCCAAAAAACATTTCTGCAGCTTTACTGCTCATTATGCTAACAGATCTAGGCGAGTGTAACAGTAAAGATAAAATACCAGAAACCACTGCTCACCTGTTTGTCAGTGTAGAATGTGCTCTTCATCATTGCACTGAAGCCGTTCTGAAATCAGGCAAGAACACTGTTACTGTACCCAGTAAACAGTCAGGCTAACCTTAAACTAATCACAGCAAAAACTTTCTAACAAAAAATACCATTATCATTTACTTCAACCAGAACCAACCTGTTTGGCTTTAGGCTTCTCTGCAGCGGAGCTTTTCTCACTTGACTCTCCTGAGTGTTCGGCCTTTTCCTTCTCCTGATATGTTACAAAGCACGTCAGCAATCAGACATCAGGACCGTAAGTGCAACATACAAGCAGGTGGATCATTTAACATAATGTAGCATTCACTGAGAGAAAAAAAAATGACCTGAGATGAGGAACTGAAAGGATTCTTCAGGATCTTTGCTGCCACTCCACTCTGACAGAGATCAAAGTGGTTAGGGTTACAAACTGATATCATGTACTGTAGTACTGATGCAATGAAGCCAAAAGACAAGAGGGAGGACATGAAATGAACACTTACCTTTGAAGGTTTCTCTGCTAGACTGTCATTGCTGGCTGAGAGTTCACCATTCACAGACAAATCATCCTTAACAAATGGAAACACATGTTCAGAATATATAAAACGATGAAAAAAAGACTATCAAGTGTTTTATTTTGAAATGGAACGATTAGGGCTGTAATCTGACCAAATTCTCACACGATTGTGTTACTTTCATAGAGAGGAAAGTGCGTACAAATATAGCTTAAAAGAAGTATTCTGTTAAAACCAGACTACCAATGAACACTTCTGCTTTTTCACAGCTTTGAACTCGTCAGACTCTACTAGGCCCAACTTATCAATTGTTTACTGAACATTTACTCAGAGTTGGCTCCAAGCTACTTGACACAAGGACTGTAGGTGTGGCTGCATTCTGCTAAAACTGGTGGTAAAAACGTTGAGTGCCAGACACAACAAGCAGTAGTTTGCATATTACAGTTCAACAACCAACACGGCATCAAATCTAAAGCATCTAAAATTCAAATTTGCAATCCAAAATGAGTCAGCTAACTTGTCTGCATGACATTCCTCAAGCATTCTTGTGCTGTGATCGTGAGTCGATATAGTTCTCAATCATATGAGCAGGTGCCAGTCGGTTTGCTCTGAATCTGTTGTTATGGTTTCAGTAAAAAAAAAAAAAAGATGTAAAATGATTTAATGTGCTGCAAACACGAGCTGTTAATGCTTACATATAATATTTAATTTAGGCTAGGAAGGCTAGCAGGTAGAATGCATTCACTGTGAATGCAACACAGACTGCAGGACATTATGAGTGAGCAAGTTTAGAAATTAAAGGCCTAAAAGTGAAACACGAGCTGGGTGTTCACTGGTTTGCTTCCAGTTTATCCTGAATAACAAAAACAGTGCAGTAGGTGAATAGAAAACAACCAAGCACTGAGCATGTTGACACCAAACAGCCAGGAAGAAAAAAAAAGCTGAGCCGCACCATCAACAAGTCGGAACAATGATTCCTAAAGAGACAATGCATGTAATTTATTATGATTATATTTCTAATTATTCCTCTTTGCGTTGCATTCAGTTGTGTATTGACCCCAGGTTGAAGCCCTGCAACAGATTAAAACTGCCCTGCAAATGTCCCTTAAAGTAAAAGAAACAGATGGATGGGTAAAAAAACACCACTGTGTCTCATTGTGTCTCACTGAAATCGTTGATCACCACATCTACAGTTGGATTTCTAGCCTTTGTCACATGTCTCTGCCCTTGTCTTGTTGTGAAATGATCAGTTATTATTGATTATTTTTACCTGAGACTGAGATTTGGCTCCTTTTTTTTTGAACACACCGCTGAAGATTCCTCCTTTCTCCTGGGAAAACAACATGAAGCCAGCATTTAATATGACGGATTTGTTTCCTATTAAATGATGCTTGAGGTGGCACCTTAAAAAATATCACCTTTGTGTGGTTCTCAGAAAGATTTTCACTGCTGCCGGACATCTCGTCGGGTGCAGACAAGTCATCCTGACGACGACAATCAAATGCCGACCATTTAATGTTATTCACAAGCTCATATTTTACAGTAACAAGCTGCAACAGTTGTTAAATATCTCCTACCTGAGATTTTGTTCTTGCTCCAAAGGGCTTTGGAGATTTTTTAAACATTCCACTGAACATCCCACCTGTCTCCTGAAGACAAAAAGTCACATTAATAATACAACTTGAGAACATTTCCACATGCTGGAGGACTACAGTGAAAGATCTCTCTAGTTTCTGATTGCAGTCTGACAGGAAACGACTTCACACAGTCATCTGTACTACAAACCAAATAACCGCTACATCCAGGTTTACTGGTTACATCATCGAATTGAAAAGTTGAAAGTTGACTATTAAACTATTTGGTTATTGCAGCTTTTACAAAGCTCACCTTAGTGTTGCTATTCACAGAAAGGTTGTCGCTGCTGCCTGAGAGGTCGTCGGGTGCAGTCACATCCTCCTGAAGAAGTAAAACAAACATCTACCAGTGAATATTATTCATATGCTAATATTTTACAGAAACAAGCTGCAGCAACACTTCAGATCTCTCACCTGAGATTTTGTCTTGGCTTTTGGTTTTTTAAACACCCCACTGAACATCCCGCCTGTCTCCTGAAGAAAAAACAGTCACAATAAAATGATATTTGAGAACATGATAACAATTTGTGCAAGATTTCTGTAAAGCATTACTTCAGGTTTCTGATTGCCGCCCGACAGTAAAGGGTTTCACACAGCAGCCTGTATTATCGACTAAATCACATCAAGGTTTACTCAACTCAACTTTATTTATAAAGCACTTTAACACAACAGAAGTTGAAACAAAGTGCTGGACACAGAATATAAAACAATTTTATAACATCTAGAACAGCAAAAACAATAAAAAACAATAAAACAGGAGTCGGATGCTGGGTCAAAGGCCAGGGCATAAAAATAAGTTTTCAGGCGGGTTTTAAAAATGGACAGTGCGTCTCTAATGTGCAGCAGAAAGACCTCCAGAGCCTTGGAGCTGCGACCGCAAAGGCTCTGTCCCCTCTGAGCTTCCGCCGAGACCTCAGAACCTCCAGAAGCAGCCGATCAGCTGATCTGAGGCACCGGGCTGGATAATACAGGGAAATCAGCTCAGAGAGGTACTGTGGGGCGAGACCATGTAAACACAAATAAAAGAATCTTAAAGTGAACTCTAAAATGAACAGGCAGCCAGTGAAGCGAACCTAAAATCGGCATAATGTGGTCTCTCTTACGAGCTCCAACCAGGAGACGAGCAGAGAAACGACTGGCTGAGTCCAAGATAAAGAGAGTTACAGTAATCCAGCCGGGAAGTGATAAATGCATTGATGACTGTCTCGAAATGTGGAGCTGTTAAAAATGGTTTCGCAAGTTGATGCAGATTAAAAAAGCTCGACTTCACCACTGAGCTTATCTGACGATCTAGTTTAAAACCCAAGTCAGAAACAGTTGGTTTTAAGAAACTAGCCAAAAGACCCAAATCGACTGGAACCATTCGGCCCAAACACAAGAACCTCTGTTTTCTTTTCGTTAAAGTTTGAGAAACTTAGGGCCAATCCTTAATATCCCAGACACACGACACAAGTTGCTCAATAGAGAAAACATCTTTCTTTCTGCTCACAGCTTTAAAGATGACTTTTGAACTATTAGGTCTCTGCAGATGGAGTCTGCAGCTTCTACAAAGCTCACCTTAGTGTTGCTATTCACAGAAAGGTTGTCGCTGCTGCCTGAGAGGTCGTCGGGTGCAGTCAAATCCTCCTGAAGAAGAAGAAGAAGCAAAACATAGTAATGCACAGGAACCGAACAGACGTGTCTCTCTCACCTTCGTAACGGTGCCACACAAAGAAAAAGGATCAAAATACAGTATACCAATATTTACATCAGCACAGGGACAAGTGAGACGAGTGAGATGCACAACACATACCTGAGATTTTGTCCTCGCAAAAGGTTTCAAGGGCTTCTTAAACATCCCACTGAACATCCCTCCTGACTCCTGGAAGTCAAAAAACGACATTATATCCACACTGAATGTAGATTCTACTGAAGCTCTTCCTCTTTTTTTCACTTTTTAAAAAATAAAATTAAAAAAAAAAAAAACAAACAGTTCTTTTGTATTTTAAACCGCTGCAGCTGCAGGGATTTAGAGCTCCACACATTTGCTTGCACTTCTTCCAAACAGCTGATGCCGGCTTTTGTTGTTCAAAACACAAAACAAAAACTGTCCATTCAGTGAGTCCAGCTCCACAGAGTTACTGGAGGTCGACATCACCAGCAGACTCTGGGTAACACCATAGACGTACCGGCTTCACTCGCTAAAGAAAGGTGTAACCCAACCATGCTTCCAATTCAACAGTCTGAACCTGTTCTGTAGCACAGTCAGTGATGTGTTTTCCACTTCTAGCATTAGTCACTGCAGTTAAATACACTAACATTCTGGAGAGATTTAGAAAATGATGAATGTAATAAAGTTTACAGCTTATATTTAATTGCTGAAACCATTGAACTGGTGTGAAAAGACCAATAATAATGTCTAAATAACCCAAGTACATGGCAATATTTGCATCAGATAAGACTTTAATAACACTTTAAGTTATATAAAAACAATACTTCTAGTTGTTTTGTTTGCGTCAGGAGGCTGGATGTAATTTTACTATTTAAAATGATAAACAGAAGCAATTGGAGGGTTTCTAATAACAATTCAGCCATAAATGTTGTGTTAACTTTACAAAATCTATTGTACAAAGGTTGCAAATACTCATTTTGGAATATTTTGAAAGCACCTATCACATGTCAGGTAGCTTTGCCCTGTTTATTAATGAATATCTATGGTTTATGTTTGTATTTTTAAATGCTGCTCATGAATGTAACACATCATCATGAAAAATGGTTAGAAATTTGACACCACTCCTCCTCCTTCTTTAAACATCATAAAGGACTGAAAGCACCACTATTTTAGTCATCAATCACTTGTTGGTTTTGGTTGGTATTGTGTAATGATGAACTCAACATTTTTGGGTTACAGTGTTGGTCAGACCTTACAAACTATATGTTCTGACTTTTAATTAACACACCAGCTCGTCACTTAATGAACAAAATAACCTGCAAAAGAATTAAAAGTTGTTGTGTTTTTTTGCAATAAAGACAAAGGAATTGTCTGTACTGCACTTCAAGAAAATGTGCTAAATTTGATTATTTTTTTGTTGCTGTATTAAAAATAGAAATCACACAGTCGAATGGCAAATAAAGTCTCATCCGTATCATTTAATGTCAGGCATGTATTCCAGCATTTTGTCTCATTGTTCATAATCAAAAAGCAACTTAACAATTGGTGGTATTTTTTTTAAATGATCATTTACTGATGAGACTCACCTTAGTGTTGGTGTTTTCTACCAGATTTTCATTACTGCCTGAGACATCCAGAAGATCCTGAATCAGACAAAAGCATCTGTTAGCCTCTTATTGAAGTAGCATGATAATATATTTCACATTTCAGGCTGTTTCCCCGGTGATGTTTCACTGTGTGGAGGTAACAGAGGATCATGTTTCACCTGTGACGGCCTCCGGACATGTCGTTTCAGTATCCCACCCAGCACACCGGATTTTTCCTGAACAGAAGGGTGCACAAAGGGGTTTAGTTTAAAGCCCAACACGACTGACTTGCAGAAGAAAAAACACAAATATCACAGAGCAGGAAGTGAACTCACCTTTGAGGACTTGTCTGTTAGACTGTCACTGCTGGCAGACAGCTCAGGGTTTTGTAATGAGATGGAGTCCTGTGCAAAAGAAAAAAACAAATTCTGCTAGACCTCAGCTTCTTATGTTTGAAAAATAAAGGCAAACTGGTGGAACTATTTCTTTTCTGTGATTTTAAGTAAATTCCTACAGAAGCTGAGAGCGGTCGTTTTCCGCTGCTGTTCTTTCTTCACCGTTTTCTCGAGATAACGAGTTAATTTTCTCGTTATCTCGAGATAACAAGAATCGTTTTTCTCGTGAAAACGAGATAATTTATCTCGAGAAAACCAACTTCTTTCAGCCTGTGTCAGACCTCGAGAGAAGTAAAGTCTGATGCGTTCATCAATGACAGATGATCCTCGATCTGACATTTTCAGTCCATTCTCGGCAAAGTCACTGCTGCACTCCAGAGCGTCACTCGTTTCTTTGTAAACACAGGCATCAGTATCGTATCCAGGGATAATTATCTCGTTATCTCGAGAAAACGAACGCCGTTTTTTCGCGATAACGGTATAATTATCTTGAGAAAACAGTCCCGTTTTCTCCAGACAGCGGGATAATTATCTCGTTATCTCGAGAAAATGCCGTTTAAACAAATGTACAGCCATGACCGCTCTCGGCTTCCGTAAGTTCCAGCTTAATCAAGTATTTATCCAACCAGCAGCTGAAGATATTCAATTTACAGTCACATAAAACTAAGAAAAACTGGGTATCAGCAAATATATCTCATTATTGTTGACAAGCAGCCAAATAATGGTTTCAGTTCTATATAAATATCAGACCTCATTTAAAATATAAAAAAAGATGCACTGCACAGTAAATTCAAGAAGCCACTACAAACCTGTGGCTGACCCTCTTTGGCAGATTTGTTCGTCTTCTTAAACATTCCTTTGAACACTCCTCCTTTGTCCTGAAATATCCGTAAATACATCATTCTGGGTGCCGAAAACACTGATTTACACGCTGAGGATATTTCCCCAACGTGACATTTATTAGAAATGATTAAACATAAGCCACAGAAATGACACTTGATGCTCACCTTGGTGCTGTCGTTGTCTGTCAGACTGTCACTGCTCTTTGAAAGGTCACTGTTGGTCGATAAACTGTCCTGTAATGTCAACGTAAGGCTTGTGTGAACATACACTAAACTCAATATTGGAAATCCACTGTTGTCATACTGAGATTTATAAATGAATGGTATATGTCTTTTTTTAAGAAATGAAGTGGCTGTTACTGTGATTTTATTGCCCTTCATAGTCAACATGATTACAGCAGAGTTTTATATTTAAGATTTTCGTGACAGAGAATATTTTTTTCAATGTAGAAAGAGAAAATAATATATATAAAATCTCTAATTATGGAGCAATAAGATAAGATTAAATAAGGTCATTTAGTAAAATAAGTGTAAAAAGTGTAAATTGACCACATTTTGGGGGACATCCAATAAAAAAACATGTTAAGATGAGAAAAAAAACCAACTATTGATTCTAAAATTATGTCTATGTTGCAGGAAACCTCTGATATTAGACAAGTTTCCATTAACTGACTCCTTTGGAGCTAGAAAGTTGTTGTATTAAAATTAGTACATCACCTCTGCTTTGCCGGACGGTTCTCTGGACTTTGTGGATTTCTTCAACATCCCACCAAACATCGCTGCTTTTTGCTGAATGAGGAGAGAAGAAGAGAGAGAAACTTTTTTCACTTTAAGCAACATGCATCTCAAGCAAACAAACACCGCCATGATGTGATGCAAGTCTGCAGCACAAAACTCCCTCATTGATCACAACTCACAGCGTCTGTCAATTAACTCCTGAATTTAAAGATGCCACGTCAGATTTTCTAGCTTACACCTCACGGTCCAGCTTTACGGTGAATTTTCAAGTCTGGACTTGAAGCTGGTTTCGTGTCTGGACTTGAGAACATGATCAAAGTAAATTTAGAATTATTTTTTTGTTTGCAGCCCTGGGAAAATAGATCATACTGCTGATCTGCTTAATCAAGTATCAACACAGCAGTGGTTCACAGTGCTGTGGCTTCCCTTAAATGAAGTAAAATCTACTTGTGGGCAGCTAAATAATGATTTTCCTTTACTTCTTTCTATTTAAATCATTTTCCATACCTGAGGAGGACCTCATTTTACAAGAAAAGTGCATTTGTCTAAGAAAATTCTGAAAAATAAATCATTTTTTGCATCCCTTCAACCATCTTGTGACTCCTCAGATTTATTTTGGGGTTCTACTTCAGAACCTACCCCAGTATTGCTTTGTGCATTCACTTATATCTGACTAGAAAGAAGGACAAATAAATCAGAGGCTCTCTATTTGTTCTCTGTTCAAGTCTCTTGTAGCGAATGAACAGACAAATCAGCAGACATTAAAAGGGCCTTAACGCTCTGCTCAAAGTGAGTCTGGAGATGTTCTATGTATTTATTGACTACAAATGGAAGGAAAGCATCAAAACCCACAATGCACTGATCCTATGAACATGTTCTGTGTGAGCATCCAAAGGCTGATCTACTGAACTCTTTGTGCCACATAGCAAAGAAAAAAAGAATACATCAATGAGCCACGCTGTTAAACTGGGTGATGTGTGCTCATTATTGTAAATGTGGTCAATGTAGGTTAGTCTGAATCAATGCCACATACAGCACGGTGCTGCTGTAAATACTCACTGCTACAGTGGCTCTGGTAGAACAAAAGGTATTTAACTCAAGTCACTGCTTCCATAGTTTGATGAGCTTTGTGCAACCCAAGGAAAGATTGATTTTTACCTTCACAGATTGTTTTTGTAAATATGTTTCTAAAGTCTAAATAGGATCCATATTTAACAATGCATTGCTATGTTTGGTTGTCCAGAAGACTACAGCAGATACAGTTCTAACCAATTGGATGTTATCGCTTTTGCTTCATTATTGACAAGACGGCACCTTCTCCTTCATTGTAAATCCACAAAGACTCCTTCCAGTACTCAGTGGCTCAGGGGCGTTATGACTTTCTTAAAAGTTGAAAAGTCGAGATATTCTTTGAGAGCTGATTCCTGTTAGTTCTACAGTAAACGGCAGCCTTTCTTAACCTTCTTTAAATCAATTACAGTGGTCCTCAAATTTATTCATAGCCGCCCATTAAAGAAGGAAAACACAGCTGTCAGTGAAATAAGTTGAAATCGACAAAAGTAATAATAGATTAATTAATGAAAATCATGACATTGCTTTTGAATTGCGGTTCATCAGAAATATAAACAAACAAAAAAACAAGCATGATGGGACCCGTAAACTAACATTTTGTTGAACAACCCTTTGAGCCAATCACTGCCATCAAGTGTTTTCTGTAACTCTCAGTCAGACGTCTGCACCTGTTGACAGGTGTTTAGATTTTGGCCCACTGCTCATCAGCAAAGTGCTCTGATTTGTCCGGGACAGTTTTTTTTTTTTTCTAATTATTCTTTCCAACCACAATTCGATAGCAATGTCTTATTTCACTAAATTATAATTTAGCAAATTTTTATTTATTATTACTTTTTCCAGTTTCTAATTATTTGATTGACTATTGTGAATTTTGCGTTTTCTTTAATGGAAGGGTGTGAATACATCTGAGGACGACTCTATCAGTGTTTTTCCATAGTCAAACATCTTATATGTGGAATTCAAGTCACAAAACAGGAAGAAAAAGTTGGTTGATGCACCCTGTTGTGGTTCAGATTTTTTAAAAAGGAGTTTAAAGGGGGCCCAGGGGCACATTTTCTGCCCCCGGACCCACCCAGCAGGTCACACCGGCCATGTACACTGAAAATAAAGCAGTCAAATCCTCATAGTTATGAACTGCTCACGTTAAGTCGGTTAAAGTGGACAAATTAGGGGTAGACAACTAAAGACAACTAAATTTAAATCAGGAAAGTCACTCACAGCGACGCCTCCTCCTCCTCCATCACACTCCAGGTCCAAATCCAGGTCGTTGTATCGATCCTGTCCCACAAACAGTCACATGTCTGACGTTATTATCTGTTATTTTTCACATAAAGTACCGCTGAAGTCGACATGTTGTTTATCGGCTCAGCGCCTCCAACGCTCGCCCTTACGTTTAAAGTTTAGCTCACCATTTGAAGCTGTTTCCTCCTTTAGTGTCGTTATTCCGCCGCTTAAACGATGTCAGCAGGGAAACAGAAGTTTAAATAAGAATGCAAATGTCCTCAGTGTGAGCTGTCGTCCTCTCCCTGTTGTCTCGGTCGGTTTGTTGTCAGTCCGCTGCGTAGTTCACGGTCCTCCCTGCTCGGTTTGGGAAAAAAAAGAAAAGAAAAACATCAGACACTTCCCACAGATACGGCTTTTCATTAAGCAGACGCCCTGCGGTTCATACACAGAAACTGGACGGACTAGTTGTGTTTCTTTTACCTGTGTGATGCGCTCCAGAGAGGGCGTGTCGGCCTCACCTGGGAGCTGACACAACTGCTGCTGCGTTCAGGAGTGGCTCGGAAACTTCGACTGCCCGAGGAAATAAAACAACTACCAGAGCGTTTCGCAAAGAGACACCACCAACAGACACAAGTAATGATATAAAAGTACACACAACCAGAATATACTTAAACTACTAAAGTACTCAGTATGCAGAAGGGGTAAATTCAAAAGAATGTGTATATTATATGATAGATATTGATAGCAGCAGTGGTGGAAAACCTTTGTGTATTTACGTTTTACCTGCACTACATTTCAGAGACATAAATTCTTTATTCAACTACTGCATTTGACACTTTTTTGACCATGATGACACAGCTCAGCATCAGTGGTTTCAATTCATTTCTAGCTCTAAGCCTGTTGTGTGGCTAAAGTTAAATCATTTAAAATTTAATAACAAAATTTAACATTGGAGAAAAGAACAATTTTATTATATATATATGTGTGTGTGTGTGTGTGTGTGTGTGTGTGTTTTAAACTAGTTATGAGCTCACAACCCTTTGATTTTTCTATTTTTCTTGTGTCCCTTTTGAGAGCTTTAACCACTGTATTAAATTAAACTCTCTCTCTGTGTGTGTGTGTGTGTGTGTGTGTGTGTGCGTGTGTGTGTGTATATATATATATTTGAAAGTAGAAGTTTACATACACTGTATAAAAAGACACATAACATTTTTCTTTTATTCTCTTTCAAAATGAAAGATTAAAAATTCAATCTTGCCTAGACCAAATCAAAATTTTAATCTCGCCTAGGCAGATTTAAAGTCCACTTCAATTTTACTTTGGACTGTGACATCGATCGATTGATTTGATTGATTTTGTTTATGTATTACTCTTCTTAGAATGATTTGATCTTTTGTCTTCTCTATTTATTCACCTGTTTACATAGTTTACTCCATTTAATGTACAGGTTATTACTCTTTTGGAATCATTTCTTACTCAGTTTTTAATTTAATTAATTTAATTTTAATATTACACATTTATTTTTTACATTTATTTCTCATTTAGAATTTCCTCATTGCATGCGTTATATAGGATCGTGTTTTCTCAGTTTGTCAATCCATGTCTTTTCAAGTCATGTATTGATAACTCAGCTGTGGCAGTAGGGCTGCGTGTGGGGGGTTGTTTGTCCTGTTTTATTGCATTTTTATTCCTTTGTGTTGCATTTTATTTGTACGAACAGCTGTTATATAAATAGTCTGATTGAGTGATCGATATTTATCATCTTACCTCAAAAACCTTGAGACAGTGCTGGAAAACTGCCAAAATATTATCTAACACAAACTCACATACATGTAGAAAACAACTTTTTTTTTTTTTATGTACATTTAAAAGCACTTTTCTAGTCCCTGCAGACCCTGTCCCCTTGTACCCTGACTGACTACATTAGACCAAACAAATACAACACAATAGCAACATGTTGGTGTTTAGTCTGCAGGCAAAAGAGATGCTTTGAAATATATTATGATTTTTTTTATGATCTCATAAAGATTTATATTTTTATTCATTTATGGATAAATAATTAAAAATTTGTAACACTTCCTGCTGTTTTATTTACTGAACATACTTTATTGCACTTTGCTGTGGTTGATTGTCAACAGTAATGTCAACTCAGTGCAGATAACAAGAGTTGTAAAAGTATTAGCTGCTGGTACACTTTCTCTCACAGATTTACTTTACACGATTGAAGCAAATTTTGAAAAAAAAAATCTATTTGCAAATTAGCTTTTATTTAATAAAACCTATCAGCTCTTAATTATTTGAAATCTGGTTAATACTTATTTAACATACAGAAATAAAAAACGTCAGAAATAAGATCTGAGTTGGTTAAAATATTTAAACAAACGACAACAAAGAGATGATTTGAACAGCATTTAATGCAAGAAAAAAAAGGCGAATATAGTGTTTTCCAAACCCATTCTAGTGTTCCATATTCTTCTTTTCACTCATCACAATCATTAAAGAGCTCATTAATAAATCCAGCACATACAAACTTTAACTGATCATATATTCAAGTCTCCTTATTTTCTAGACTTGCTTGTTACTAATCTAAATCAAAGGCACGTGTAAACATAAAGCGGAGTGTTATTACATAAACACTCATCTCTGTAAATATTTCAGCTTCTTCTTTTTCAGACAATTTATTGCACATTGCGTGTATTTGAAGCAAAGAAAAAGAGAACATCCCAGACAATCTTTGGTTAGTGCAGCGTTTAAGTGCGATTCTTAAATCTTGATAATTGAAGTGCATAACATGGAGAGGGTTATTCTTTCCAGGAGAGAAAGTAGACTTTTCCTTCTCCGTCAGCGCAGATCAGCTCAGTGGGGTTTCTTGGATTCACCTCCAAACTCAGAACCGGACCTCCACAAACAAACATTCCCACCTGAAGGAAGAAAGGCAGCAAGAGAGAGTGAAGAGGAGGGAGGATAAATTCAATAAAAAGGATTCTGTATGTGGCAACCCAGTTATTCCTACTGAGGACAAAATATTTTAGTCACAAATACAAAATTTCACTTTAATTTCATTGAACAGACATCACTGTAAACAAGTGTTGGGGACTATTTTTAGCTGTGGATTAACACGCGTTTGTTGCTCTGTTAAGTATTTCAGGCAGCAGCAGTGTTTGCAGGACAAACTCAAAATAACCTCCAGTGTACGTCAGAGGAATAAGATTTACTGGACTTCAAACACAAGCGCAACATAAGTTAGAAAGACCAAATTTATCCTTGAAGACTAAAACGCACCTGTTTCTTAGTGTTTCTGTCCCACAGCTTCACCGTCCGGTCGTAGGAGGCCGAGATGATGGTGGTTTTGGTGACTCTCAGCTCAGTGATCCTCTCGCTGTGAGCCTGAAGATAAAACATCATCGTCAATAAAACCACTGACAGTTATTTATGACGCTTGTTTTTATGTCCTGCCACATGAGAAATACTGGCACACGGCTGCTTTCTTATCTCAGATTCAAATAAAGGTTTACATTCAATAAAGAACCCATTTTTCAACAAATATGACAATTAAATGGTTGTAAAAGCCATTTTTCAAAGCAAAAACTGCACTCATGCTGGTTTCCTCTAAAATGGGAGAATCATCACTTCTTTACACTTGTATGTTTAAGTTGTGTCAAGATGTCACCTTGAGTTCTCTGACTTTTTTTTTGTTATTTAATGACATTATGTGAACTTAATTGACCATTAATTGCAACCTTCTTTTGAACTCTCATCCTACCATCATATTTAATACAAAAGTGCTGCTTACTGGGGTCCCTTTGGATACCCAAGAAAAAAATTAGTATCAAATATTCCAGCAAAACTTAACCACCTTTTCCCAAAACATTGTTAGTTAAGTAACATTTGGAAATTAAAGGTGGCTCGGTGGTTAGCATCGTTGCCTCGCAGCAAAAAGGTCGCCAGTTCGCATCCCGGTGAGGACACCCGGGATCTTTCTGCGTGGAGTCTCCATGTTCTCCCCGTGCAGCGTGGGTTCTCTCCGGGTTCTCCAGCTTCCTCCCACACAGTCCAAAAACATGTTGAGGTTAATTGGTGATTCTAAATTGTCCGTAGGTGTGAATGTGAGTGTGCTTGGTTGTCTGTCTCTAAGTGTAGCCCTGTGATAGACTGGTGACCTGTCCAGGGTGTCCCCTGCCTTCACCCTAAGTCAGCTGGGATAGACTCCAGCCCCCCATGACCCCAGTGAGGACTAAGTGGTGTATAGATAATGGATGGATGGATAATAGTTTAAACAACATCTTAGTTTAGGAACAGCAGTATTAATTTCTTTACATTACCGACACAGTGACTCAACTGTCCTGACAACACAAAACTCTTTAAATTAGGTCTCTACGGCAAACATGAATTCATTCCATCTATTAAAACTGCATATGAACAAGTGGGTGCTGTTGACTAGGGTCCTTCATAACCTTAATACATTGGTATATTTTTAAAAAGCACTAATTAAAACATAAACTAATGACATACAGAGACTAGGAACAAAATGATTTGCAAACAAAGCCATGAAAAATTGCAATGGTGGAATAAAGCACCTGTGAGATATGATCAAAAGTTCGTACAATGAGGGTTAAAGTTCACAAACCTGTAAATGTAAAATATGAAAACATACAGCAATACAGTTTACTGCTTGCAGAAAACGTTCTTGTTTTTCCCCCCTTCAGTTAAACACTGATATCTCGTATTAAGTTTCAGGGTTGAGTCTCTCGGCTCTCACCAGCTTCATGTCGCTCCAGGACAAAAGCTGTGGAGGCTGATTGAACCACATGTTGCCCTTCACGTCTCCACACACCACAAAGTCTGAAAGACAGACAACACATCGCACATTCACTAAAATATAAAGAACAAACGAAAAAGCATCATCGTAGCTGTCATTTTAGTCACTGTTGTTATACTTCACAACACCACGACTAGAGCCATCAGTTGATCGTTCAATAGAAAAACTCTGCACATTATCAAGTTCTCTACATGAACAAGATTCTGAGCAATATCAGTATTTTCTACTTCCAGGAGAATCTGTGTAATATCAATATTTTCCACATTCAATACCCGAATTTCCAAACATGGAAGAATCTGTACAACGTCAGCAGCTACTGATGTTCTGACACTGCAGCTGTAAAACTGAACATTTCCCCTCTGCGGATTAAATAAAGGCTTTTGTCAGTTTTACAGCAAAATGCAAAACGTTTCCCAGTTCCAGCCAGTCATTTGTTCATACATGACATTTAGGACGTCTTGAACAGGTAATTTTATGACACTGTATTGACAATTAGTCGAGTGTGACGCTCATTTTCTGAGACCAAAATTTTCCTTTGTTGTGAACATAATCCAAATAGTAACCGATACAGAAAATGCTCCAGCTGTGCTTGTACCGTTGTCCACAGTTGCGGCCGTCACCAGGCTTCCCTTTTTCTTTTTCTTCTTCGTCTCCTCCTCCTCCTCCTCCTCCTCCCCCTCGTGCTTCAAGACCAGTGAGCAGAAGCTTGAATATTCAAGAGTACCGGGGCCCATGACAAACTGCAAAGAAACAGGACAATGCTGTCAGTAGTAATTCGTTTTAAACTATTCTATTATATATTATATAAACTATGAAGTCTGTGCTGCAGGACAGGAGACTGAATTAGCTCTGAATGAAGATGAGCTGCAGGACACAGCAGAAGGGGAAAACTGTTTTTTCTTAATGCAGGACGCTTTGCAATAATAAAGAAAGTACATATCTTATTGACATCTTTAAAGTCGCCTTACATTCTTCATCTAACTTTTTGCAGCTCTAAAGAGCAAATCCAGTTGAAAATGATGGTGAATAAAGTTTGCTTAACGTGCAGCACTGACGACACCAATGAAATGCCGAGTAAAACTCACAAAGAAGCCGATGGTTACGTCGCTCCCTTGTGCGCCCACCAGCCAACAACTTTTGTCGTCGTTACGAACAAACCCCCGAATGAGGACTTGACTGCTCCAACTGAAAGAGACGCGAGGCGCTTTTAGGGTTACTCTAAAAAGAACACCTCTCAGTGGATAAGACACAAAAGTAAACATGTATAGAACTGAGCCAGTCTATGGTATCAATACAACAAGATGTGGTCCTGTTAGTTACATTTTACATGAAATACACATGTTCACCAGCACACTGGAGCCATGAATTATCTCAAGTCTCAATGTAAAACACTTCAGAAGTTTTGGTCACTTTGACTATAAGCTGGCTGGCCTCTATTCACTTTCCTGTATCTCTAATAACAACAGAAACTAGACTCACAGACAAAACTCAAGACCTGCTGCAATTAACTTGGACAATAATCGATTAAAACAAGATGAAACAGAAATGTCCACGTACTTGTTGACTTCACCCCTCCAAGTGACTTGACATGACGGGTCCTTTATGACTCCATTGTGGGAAATACAGATCAGCGTTGAGCAGTAGATGAGCCGAACCACCGGCTCCGACACTTTGAGGGTCGACGTCTTCACCAGACTGCGAGCAGCAGAAACACACAGTAAAGAAGGATTTGTTGTTATGCAGAATTAAACTCACAGCACTTTCTTTGAAACTCCCCTGTTGATGCTCTAAAACTCAGCACAACTCATAATTGGGTTTAATATGTGTATTTGAATCAAATAACAATATTAACTTCAGCGATTCACGCAACGTGGAGCGATTATAACACAACGTCAGTTCATCAGATTCCAGCTGCTGTCATGTTTCTGAAGTTTTGGATGCATTAAAAAAAAATCTGTCCTTATACAAAAGTAGTGTAGAAATCTCTGGGGGAAAAAAAAGAAAATTTAAGGATTGGGGAAGAAGAAGGTGAAAGAAAGTGGAATGAAAGGACGGCATGTGACTATGATATAGATTAAATACCATTATTGCATTAATCTGTATTACATAAAACATATAGGACTTGCTACAGGATTTTAGTTCCCAGACTTTTAGGATCCAGACATTGCATAACAGAGGATCAGGTTTTATTTAACTCTAGTACACTTCTTAGCTTCCCTTCGTAGTATTTGGCTAAATTTGAATAGCATCAGAATTTGCAGACTCTGAGGCGCTGTTCTGAACAAGAGGTGGATTCTAAGAGCTTGAACTTTGAGTCCAACAAATGTCTTCTGAAATCTTTTACGGTGCCCTTCTTCTTCTTCTTCTTCTTCTTTTTTTAAATTAGTGATGATTATTTCAGTTATCATTTTTGTTGTTAAAAAGCAAAATAGAAAACGTGAATTTTTAGTTCTTACGAATTAAATTCAAGTTAAAAAAAATGTGTTGTGTCTTTTAAACGATTTAAAATTTGATTAAAGTTCGATAAGATGCCGTTAAACCTAAACACCAAATCATCCCATCAGAAAGGAATGAAGCTCCTTATTAAAAGCATAAACAGAATATCGGACTTTGTGGTTTAAAGTTAACACTTCCTTGCAAATGTTTGCTGCCATTTTTAGTTTTATTCGGTAGAAGTGACATGCAGCGGGTTTTAATGTGTTTGGTTGCTGCATTCTGCTGAACCTGCATCAGAAATCTATAAAAATTTTGTAGCTAAAAGCATCTTTCAAACCCCTTTTATTTACAACTGAGTGCAATGTGTGTAAATCAAAGTGTTAAACCTCGCTTCATGCCATTTAAACATGTTCTTTTTACAACTAAAAAATAATCTGCAATATATAGCATAGAAATATTTAATTAAATATCACAAATATTAAATATTACAATGCTTTCAATGGTATACAATGTTTTGTAATTTAGGCCGTTTAATGGTCAAAGTGTCTTCTTTAGTTCAAGCCATTAACTGTGATGTTTACACGACTTATTAAGTATATAAGTAATTAAGCATTGATCACAGATTTGTAAAATGAGGCAGGAATACTGCAGAAAAGGATGAAATAAGAGTTTCTTCACCAAAGAACAGTGTTTACGTCCTGTATGCAGCTTCGCATTGGGTTGTTTTTGTTGTTGTTTACCTGGCTGTGCCTAGTTGTTTACTCCACACCAGCTTCCACACGTCCACAGACAAAGACTTCAGGTAGCTGACGGCGAACTGGTGGTCGGGCATCGAGCAGACGGCTGTGATGGGGCTGTTGGACGGCTGGCACGCAAACAGAGGGACGACAAGATGAACACGCACACACATGACGACGACGCACACGCTTAAATCACTGCTGGGGTGCGTTTCCTCACCTGCTTGTGGCCGATCACCGCGTAGTTCTGCCACAGCTCCAGCAAACCCGACTCATAGCCAGCCAGAACCACGTCGTCGTCCTGAGAGACGCACAAAGCTGTGACGGCGCCTCTCTGGCTCGGTGGACTCTCTGATGGGGAAAGACAGGACATGGTCGGTTTTCTAAATGGAACGCCTTCTCCGTATTTAGCAGAACTCATGTATTTATTCCCCATTTAGAGCACTGAGGTCGACCAACATGATGCTCTGGGAAAAACTTGACACCCTGACTTCATCTCTTATTGGTTGTTTCTGTTACCTTTCTTTATTTTATTGTGTTTTTTATTCATATTTGTCTTTTTAGTTTTTGTGTTCTCAAGGGTTTATAATTTTACAGCACTTTGGGTCAACTCCTGTTGTTTTAAATGTGCTTTTAGTTCAGAATCGTATCATTAATAATTCATTCCTGCTGCTAATGTGTGTATACTTTGGTATTTATTAGATTTTATTTATGTGTATTTACCAACAATTCCCACTCATGTTGCTAGTGTAAGAGATTGTCAACGAAATTTCATTATGCTTTTATTTGCACTGACACTAAAAGCATCTTTAATCTCTTGAATAAATTTGACTTTACTTGGACACCAGAGTTGTACAATTAATCATGCTGTATTTGAGCTTCTACCCCAGAGCCATAACAGAACTGAACTCTGCCGAACACTCACACTAACTGTCTGGACCCGAGTACCTACCAGCAACTTAACTACAACCTTATGCACCTTTTATTTATGTATTACGCACTGACAGGATTAAATAAAAGGAATTCTGTTCTATTCTATTCTATTCACAATCTTAAAAACAAAGTACAGCTGCACACTGAATAGATGCTCTCAGGAAAGTTTTCTTTATCATTTACATGCTCTGTCACGTTCATCAGGTAAATCAAATGTTGTCATTGTGCTCAACGAACTGCCGTCTACTCAGCTGTTCTCTAGATCGCTTTCCTCTTTGAGCCTGATAACGTGATATCGTGTTGGGATGTGGATGCACCACCATGAAGCAAACAGTTGCATTTACCCCAATAAAAAAAAGCATCTAATGGCACACAAATACTGTGAAGAGTAAAACATAGTCTTTTTATGTGTGTATTTAATGTCACTTTTCATTTGTGTGAAGAAAATGTTCAACACACAAGCCTCACAGCCTCATTGTCACTTCCTGCTCTTCCTTTCTTTATTATTTATAATGACTATAAATTGCTAAGACTTTATTTTACTTACTTTCCAAACATTTAATATATTGTCAATTACACTATTACAGCTGAACTATAATATTACTGCAAGCAGATTTATATACATCTGTAAGTGTGTATTGATGCCATCTGCTCTGTGTAAGCAGTTCAGCCGAGGAGTCCCTGAATTTTTGACATGCGACTGTTGGTTGCAGCTGAGTCACGAACGGCTTTCCTGTTGCACCTAGGAGCACAGAATTTTTGGTTTTGTACAGAATCTGGTTAAAGTGAAGAATTTATTTTTGGTGGATTTTTGAACAAGACATATTGGATATAGTGATTTTGATGATATACTACAATTTAAAGCTGGAAAGTTGAAAATGAAAGGTTCTGTCTGTTTTAACTGTTTCTTCCTCTAAAAAAATGTGTAATTTTGGCAATTCTTCTACATGCCTTTCAAACCAGCTGTCCGTTTTGTGGTTCAGAAGGTTAAAGCATATAAAAAGTACTGTGTGAATATTAGCAGTGAGTGTCTGCAGTTAAACAAAACAGTACAAAGAAACTTTCTGTGTGACACACTGCTGAAGCTAAACACAGCGTCCTGATGTTTAACCTTCTCCATAAGAGCAGCATCAGTGCACGCTGGTCTGACTGAGGCGAGCTGGTTCACCTGTAGCCCACGACCAGCATCGCAGTGAGCAGTCTTCAGAAACTGACAGGAATTCTTCATCTCCCTTGGGAACGACTCTGTGAATGGCACCGCTGTGACCCTGGAAGGTGCTGAAGTGTTCAACCTGAACATGAAAACATACAGCGAGTTAAAACAAAAAAAAAGTCAGTGGAAGTCCGTTTTTGCCTGCATCAGACACAATCAGTGAATAAATCTGGTGAGACGAGAACAACGACCGTAAACTCTCCTGGACATTAATGTGAGCTGTGAGTCTTGAGACTTTGACTGACGGACCTGAAAGGGTTTCCAGAGCTGCACTGTTCCATCATCAGACGCTGTGAACACGGTCATGTCCTCTGGCTTGGCGTCTTTGTCCTTGCCTTAAAAACAGAGCAAGAACTTTTAAAAGATGAAATCCTAATAGAATTCATTATATTGCACAAAGTGAATAAACGTGTGTGAACCAGGAGGTTTCTCGGGGCCGGTACCTGGGGTCGGGCGGAGGGAGCAGTGGTGGATGCGTTTCTTGTGGGCAGCGATGTGGCAGACTTCCATGCTTGTCTCCCAGTTCCAAACGTGCAGAGCTCCGTCTGCACAGCCGGCCACCACATACTGCTCCTGCACACAGAAACGCCAAACAGCAGGTCAAAAACAGAAGGTACCACTGTTGAATCTCTATACTGTCCACAATCTATGAAGCTCGTTCACTCCACCGACACAGCAGCTACCAACACAAACGCTTAATATCCTCTGACTGACGTATGATTCGCTCACCAGACCGCAGACAGACGAGAGTGGACTCTTCCAGGAGATTTCTTTGAGACACTGACCTGCCTCAAGGTCCCACAAACAAAGTCTCCCATCGTTTGAGGAGCTTATCTGCAATGTAGAGGGAAGCCGGAATGATTGGGACAAGTCCTTTTAGACATATCAGTGAATATAGTCGATATGATGTCAGAGGTTGACATTTCTGTGGTAATGAAGACTCACCGTGCATTTTGGAGTCCAGACGCAGCCGGTGATCCAGTCTCCATGAGAGTGAGGGAGCGACTTGGACAGAGCAGGAGGCGATGCAGTGACGTCCCAAACCATCAGAGCCTGAAACAAACATTTATCGATAACACCAGAGGATCAGTCCAGCTGTGTGACTGCTATGTGGGAAGTTTTGAGGGATTTTATTTGACAAATTCATTTTCATGCTACTTTATACTTGTAAATTTGACATTTTTTTTTACTTCACTACATTTATCTGACCACCTTTGTTACTTTGTAAATGTAAAAGAGAACGTCTGTTTATTTCAACTTGGCGTATTTCCCCATTATTGTAACTGTGTGGGTCACGCTAACTTTGCACTCTTCACTTCTGTTGTAGAGATTCAGGGAATTGAGTGAGCAATCAGTATGAGCTCCCTGCAGCTTTCTAAAGAGAAGCAATTTCTACACTTTAAACAATTGTTTTCGAGTCTGTTAAACACAAGAATTTGTTGCCTTGAACAGACATTTTTGCGAACTGTATCAGGCCTCCCTTTATTCATGGATACTAGCTGGTTGAAGTAATCATTGGCATATTTATCTGCACACCCACAGTTTACTAACTAGTTTGACTTCCACTGTGGGGATGGAAACAGAGCAAATAAGATGACAGGATGTCCTGGAAGGCGACGTAAATAAGGAATCTGGCAGTGTTCCTGCACATACTGCTCTGCTGCGACTGAAGAGGGAAACTGTTGCTGCTAAAGAGCGAGACCTGTTGATGACAGACTTGGAAAAGAGAACTACAACTTCTGATTCTGCTGCTTTGACAAAAAATTGTCAAGCTGCAGATGGAGCATCACTTCTCAAAAATCACCTGATAGAAAAGACAGATTGAGCTCTCAGCCTTCCGTGCAATAAGTAAAAGTCCACATGGTTAGAAAAATGGTCATTCCTTTCAGGTAATTCCTGCCTTTGTTTAGACACAAACACACGTTTAAAATGACTTGTGTACAAATCGTCTCCTTGCAAAGCTCATGCTAATCGCTCCCCGCTAAATGTCATTTCCCTGAATCTCTACAACGGAGGTGAAGAGTGTAACGTAAATGTGACACCTAGAGCCACAATAGCAACAAAGGTGCCAGGTTAAAAAAAACACTAAACTGCAATTCTCTGAAGATTTATGGAGCACAAAATATGAGTCTTGATTGGAAATTGAACTACGCTGAAATGATTATTTGATTAATCTGCAACTATTTTGATAATCATGCTAGTCATTTTCCCATATAAAAAAACAGCTGAGATTTAATGACTCCCAATGTGAGGATGTGTTGCACTTCCTTTTATTTTAATACCTTTCAATTACTGTTTTTGAGGTTTGGAGATTTGGTTAAAGAAAACAATCACTGGTATCAATCCTCTGGGTAACTGTGAGAGCACAATAATCGATCGATTGATAACATAATCAGCTGACTGGTGCATTATCTAAGCACAGGTACCTGATCTTTTCCACCAGACAGCAGCTTTTCACCGTCGGGACTGAAGGCCAAGCAGGTGACTCCTCCAGTGTGGCCCCTCAGCCATGCATGAGGGCCCGATGTGATGTCATCAGCCTTATCGCTCAGCAACCACAGCGCAACGGTGAAGTCATCTAAGTGAAAAGGAAGCACAGGGGGCCAAATTATAGTATATATATTTATATATGAGGAAAAAGATAAAGCGAGTAGCACCTGCAAGATACAACGCAGACATAAGGTTTACACGCCCCCTTAGAAGTTTTCTCCTTTCATTGCTCTTCAACACTGAATCATTATCAATTACATTTTTTTTTTTTGACAAGAACGTGAAATAATCTACTCTCTCTCCCATCTCAGCTTCTAAAGCTTGTCACTCCTTCAGGGGAGTCGTAGGGGGTCTTGGTGGCATCATTCACGACTCTTTGTTTTGCACAGTCAGTCAGGTTTGGAGGACGTCCTGCTCTAGGGCAGGTTTAAGCATGTGCTGCATTCCCTCCATTTCTTTAGCATGGATTTAACTGTACTCCAAGAGATATTCAGGGACTTTCAAGTTTTCTTGACTTATCCCCTGAGTTATGCTTTTCAACAAACTTTTCACAGAGTTGCTCGGTGTGTTTTATGTCTTCATGGTGTGGTTATAGCCAGGAGTACTGATTCACCAG